AAGCTGCAGTCAAGTCGGGCAGTTTTCAGCATCCTTCAAATAACATAGATAAAGTCAAAATACAGTTTACATCGTGTTAATTCCACCTGTAGTTTTTAGACATTTGCTAAGACATTGTTTCATATTCTCGGTGGCTCTAAAAACTACAGCCACCTCAAACATGATGTCAGAGTAGTTTAGCATCATTAATGGTAAGGTATAATATTATATATATAAAGTCTGTTTTTGTTCCACTGTGAACGGTTACAATCCAGATATATGTTAAATATGTATTGGATGAATTCATTTCAATTTCTGTTTATCAGTATGATGTTACATTAATGATTGAAGGGGTTTAATTTAATAACATATTTTAAGGGATATTGAAACCAAACCATTGGGCATAAACAGAGGACGACTCACAGAACTGTTAACCAGCATTTATTTGCTCCTGCAGAAGACAATATAGCACATTCATTTCCTTCTGCTCTTTTTTTTCCTGCACCTCTGCTTCCTCAGCAATGCAAAACAACACTGTGTGATTTCATTATCTTTCTGAAAATATTTAATTTTAATAACAAATCTATATAAACTATATAGAATAGGTTAAACAGAGTAAAAAGTGTGTGTGGGGTGGGTGACTAAACAGAAACAACACAAACGAAGGAGCTACGGAAGTTCGGGAGTTACGGAAGGACAAAGTTCAGAAAACTCAATTTCCACTGGAAATAAACCAAAATAACAGAAAATGAAAAATAACTCAATGAGATAAAATTCAGACTCAATGAAAATGAATCAAATTCACAAATACATATTAAAAGTAAGTGTAAACAAGGTTAAAAATCTGTATTAAAAAGAGCTATATTAAAAAGTAAATTCATGAAGTACGTTATTAATGTTAAAGATTAAAAACTGATATTTGTCTAAAAAGCAATTCAACTGAGATAAAGAGAAAATAAATAGGAAGTTTATTTTGAAGGAGATGGGTTGGAGACGCGCTGTCAGCCAATCAGGAAGAAGCTCGGACTGTTGACCTGCACGGAGCAGAGTTCACGTCACCTTGAGCTCCTGGAAGAACAGAGAGGAAACCCCGCGTCGACAACGATTCCTACCTCGTGAAGATAAAGCGATAAAAGTTGTTGAAAACTGATTAAAAACTGATTGAAATAATCCAGTGTGGAGCCCTGGACCTGTGAGAGTGCAGTCGGAGAGACCTGACGTCTCCCTCACGAAGGAAACGCATCGGTGAGCGATCGTCTTTACCATGCTAAGCGCTAGCTGAAGATGCTAACTAGCACAATGGCAGACGCCATTCACTAATGCTACAACCATTAGCTTGATATTTTAATGCTGCAAACTGAATCCAATGCTGTGTAATATGTTGGTTTGTATAATTGTTACACACTGAACTGTGTAATGTGTTGATTTAGCACTTTTATCTGTGCATTTTAAGCACATTAAGCCATATTTTAATTATCTTTGGATGTTACATTTTATTTGAGATGTAAACGTCCCATCACATGACCGAGGGTCCAACATGTGTCTGCTTACTGGTATCTAGGACCACGTTCAGACTGCAGGCAAAAGTGGCCCAGATCGGATCTTTTGGGGTCAAGACTTCAGACCAGGTCAGACTTCTTCAGAAGTAGTGTGAACACTCAAATCAGATTTAGACCACTTCCATATGTGGTCCTGAATCTGATCCAGGTCTGATTGTTTTCAATGCAGCCGCAGTGTGAACAACCAAGCTGGATTTGATGCGACTTTTACGTCAATCTACATCGACATTTGTCACAGTGATGCGCCGGCGAGTTCGCCCTCGACACAGACGGTCAAATTAAAAACTTGACTAGGCCTACAAAATGGAGAACAGTGATGGAGCAAGTCAATGGAGGGAGAGTGAGGTGTTAGACCTAATTAGTATTTGGGGAGATACTTCAATTCAAGCAAAACTAGAAGGATCGTACCGTAACCGCTCCGTTTCTGAAGAAATAGCAAAGGAAATGTAAGAACAGGGACACAGGAGAACGTGGCTGCAGTGCCAAAGGAAGGTGAAGAGCCTTAAAGCTAAATTTAAAGAAACAAAAGAGTCCAATAACCGAAGCGGTCGCGGTCGCATCACCTGCCCATTTTATAACGAGCTTAGCCGTGTTATGGGCGATAAACCCAGCTGTCAGCCGTTGGAGCTGCTGGATAGCTACGAAGCAGGCGAAGAGGAGCCTGAAACTCCGAGGAGGTCGGCGGACAGCCTGGATATTGATGGCGAGACAGGTAAGTTTTCAGTCTTGACATTCACAGCCGACGCATATAGAAAGTCTTGAGTGGAAACGCACTTTAATATAAAATAAAAGTTAGAAATATTGCAGAGAAGTTTTACATTTGGAGACTAGAAAGTTGGCGTGTTTATTAGAGGAAGATTCTGTTAACAGAATAAACGAGCCCGTCAGCTGCTCCCAGTTTTCTTTGCACAACTCGGAAACCCATCAGAGAAGCAGAGACTACCCTGTACGTGTCTGTCATTCAAAAATGTACAGTCTATCTATGATCTGATCCAGTGCACTGGTGACCTGGATCTGAAGAACCAAATCCCATATTATAACCTAACATATAAGTTAAGAGGGGGGGCTACCAGGTGACCCTCATCTTCTCAGGGTAACGTGTGTGTGTTGAGGGTGTTATGTAAACCACCTTTCTACCAGGCACCAGTCCAGCCCTCACAGTACAACCCAAGACAACTTGCCGCCTCAGCCGACCTTTTACAACTTTACTCAGCCCCCTAAATTTAGCACGGGTTCACCTCAGCCTCCACCATGTAACGAGACAACCAACCAGCCTCTATCTTTCCTGCAAGATCTGGCTCAACCTCTACCTTTCAACCATCCCCCTGCACATCCTCCAGATCTACCTCAGCCCTTCAGCCAGGTGTCAGCACACCCTCAAGGTCCAGCTCAGCAGTCCTTCAGCCAGGACTCAGGACATCCACCATTCTACCGACCTCCAGGTGATGAGGAAAAGTAAATCAGATCACGATATTGTGACTTGCTTTCAGTATTGTTGCATCTATGCAAAGTGTATCCATCATTATAAAGGTTAATTACAGTTCAGATTATATTTGACAGTTTGATTTCAGGTTACAGTTTTAACGTTATGTAGTTTTATTAAACCGACAGAGACTTGCACTATAGCAGAATAATTTTATTTTGAACATGAACATTTATCAACATATTTATTCAAAGTAGAACATATAAATAAGCAGGTTTTCTCATTTTTTGGCAGAGAAAAGTCCTTGTGTGGAAAATTTGATGAGAATTTTTAGATGGATTTGTTGTTTACATAAACCTGCACAACTGAGAATTTTACAGGGATGCATTTCATTTTTATTTAATTTTTCCAGAACATCCTGTTGTCCTGAAGAGTAGATTGACCAGGTCCCTCATAGGCCTCACCATGCTTCTCGCACACATTGTGGAGAGTGCAGCATGCACTTATGATGGTAGGGACAGTGGAGATGTCTCTGTGAAGCTATTCACATCACATTCCCACCACTCTTGGCTTCGTCTCTGCATCCACACAGACCTCTGTAGTGAATTAACCACGTAAAAGTACAACTGTGTCTGAGTCATTCCTGGTGTATTGTTTGGTTAATCCTAGGCTCCATAGTCGAACATAGAACTTCTGATCCCACTGGCCATAAATAATCATTATATAGAGTAATCCATTTCTGTTCCCCATCTCTAAAGGGTTACATAAAAATTAATAAAGTGCATTTTTAACTCTGATACACATTGTTCCTATGTTTTTATGTTGATGAGAGAAAGGGGATGAAAGTTTCATGAGTTTTGAACTGCAATTGTGTACATAGTATAAAAAATATGAAAAAAGTTGAATGAACTTTGAACGTTTGAATGAACTTTCTACTTTGAAACGTTTAGAAGAAGGTGCCAAAATAATCTGTCTCCTCCCATACACTGCTCATAGGCTGACACCTGCTGGTGAGTTTACGGAACTGCAGCTGACAGTTGGAGAGAAAATAAAGGCAGAAAATAGAAAGTAGGTCCAGGACTCTCTCCGGACAGACCCCCTATAAATTCCCCACAGAGACAGGGAGCTGCTGTGTTGCTCCGGTAGCACATATACTAAGATTGGAGCGATACAGAGAAGATTAACATGGCCCCCTAACTGAGGTCAACACCACTGTCACTGTTCGGTTGTTTATTGAGAAAATTCTGAGCTCAGATCACAGTAATTCTCCCAAATCAACTCTTTTATGGAAACTAAACTTCCCTGAACAACACATTCGGTCAGAGTCTAATAAATTCCTCATTCCACATAAAATGAAAGAAGTTCACATGAAGATATTACATAGATACCACCCCTGTAATAAAATATTAAATACATTAAAAATACATATTTCTCCATTATGTTCTTTCTGTAAAACAGAAATCAAATCTATCTCTCATCTATTCCTTAAACAGACTCACAAGAGTTCTGGATTGAAGTTGATTTATTCATTTTTAACCAGATTGACACCCATTAATCAATGTTGTCTTGTATTTCTTTAACACACTTCTGAAGTTCAACTTTCAGGATCTTCTCCAGCGACACGTAGAGCCCATCTACCTTGCTGTTTAGCTGTTTTTCAATATTATCCACTTTCACCTGGATCACTTTCATCTCTTTTAGGAGCAGGTTAGTCTCCTCCTCGTCCTTATCCTGCGCTTGGTTGCGCGTTTGTTTCACTTTTTCAGCCATCTCAGATACAGTTTTAAAGTGTTATCTTCCTTAGATGGTAGAGTATAGTGTATCTCAAATAAATCACTGGTCCATTTTAGTAGATGAAATAGATTAGAAATGATGTGATTTGAGTTCAGGTTATTGCAGCACAACAGAGACATTTATTTTGTAGGGAAAGAAACATAAAAAGCTGTGTGTGGGCGCATGTGGAGCCTTTGCTTTATTATTTTACACTCTTACATCAGTAGGCGCCCAACCTAACTCACTCTTGGTGGTGGTGGCCTGGGATGGGATCAAACTCCCGGCCTGAATTATTGTCCCAGTCCGCCTCTGATGATGACACACACAACTCGATGGGTAGCTCGCTGAGCAAGTTGGTAATCAAAATCATTCCCATCATAGGAACGACTGTGTAGCCCCAACAGGTTAGAGAGTAACAGATCAGAGGTATTAAAGGATGTTTAACAGGTTAGAGAGTAACAGATCAGAGGTATTAAAGGATGTTTAACTGGTTAGAGAGTAACAGATCAGAGGTATTAAAGGATGTTTAACAGGTTAGAGAGTAACAGATCAGAGGTATTAAAGGATGTTTAACTGGTTAGAGAGTAACAGATCAGAGGTATTAAAGGATGTTTAACTGGTTAGAGAGTAACAGATCAGAGGTATTAAAGGATGTTTAACAGGTTAGAGAGTAACAGATCAGAGGTATTAAAGGATGTTTAACAGGTTAGAGAGTAACAGATCAGAGGTATTAAAGGATGTTTAACTGGTTCGAGAGTAACAGATCAGAGGTATTAAAGGATGTTTAATCGGTTAGAGAGTAACAGATCAGAGGTATTAAAGGATGTTTAACTGGTTAGAGAGTAACAGATCAGAAGTTGATTTAGATAGTTTCACTCCTTATTTAGTGAGTAGTGAGCTAGTTTCTACCTTTGTTCATCGTATACAACCTCCTGGACAACTTTCAGCTAGTCTGCATGGAAGGTGGCAACCCTATAGCTAGCTAACGTTAGACAGTGATTGATAGACCGTTTGAAAGTGTCCCACCTAGTTTTGTGTAAAATAGTCTTTGTATGGTTGTTGCACTACACGTTTAGCTACACTGCATGTGTAGCTTGCAAACTCAGCTACACATTATTATTATTCTAAATATTCTTTAGCATGTAGCCGAGGTCTAGAGCTGACAAGGTAAACTGCAGGTCTAGGACTAACTCTTACATTAGCAACCCACCAATATGTGTGTGCCTGTACTGTCATGGTAATTAGTTTTTATTTTAAATCCCAGCATGGAAAACCGATGAGTTTGCAAGTTTACCTAGCATGATGGATAATTCATTTTGAGAGAGAAATAATTTTAAACATTTATATTTTTTTATGTTCTATGAGAAAATACTTTCTCTCAAAACTTTTTTTAGTCTCAAATATTATTATTTTTGGCTCTCAGTGTGATAACTTTTTCTCTCAGATCATTTATTTTCTCACATGTAATAAAGACACAAATCTAACTCCATACTTAAGGCGCTGCCAGTGTTTGTGTGGGATGAATGCGCACCCTGCTGGTGAAACTAAGCAACTACATCTGAAATCTACTAGGCTGTATCGCTCTACACATTGTTAAGCTGTAAAACTGGGGATTGCACTGTGTGTGTAACTAATGGGCGTTACATACATATTAAAAGTAAGAATTAATAGTGAATTTTTAACTCTGATACACCGTCACAAAAAAATACATATTTCTCCATTATGTTCTTTCTGTAAAACAGAAATCAAATCTATCTCTCATCTATTCCTTAAACGGACTCACAAGAGTTCTGGATTGAAGTTGATTTGTTCATTTTATTAAAGTTTAACCAGATTGACACCCATTAATGTCAGAAAGTCCTGTTTCTCATTAATGTTTTAACAAATTGAACCAATTGAATGATATTTGAATAAATCTGGGTAACACTTTATAATGAGTACACACTATTAAGCATTAGTTAAGCATGAATAAATACTGAAATCATCATTTATAATGCATGAATACACATTAGTATGTAGTTTATAAACACAGTTAAACATGTTTTATTCATCATTGATAAGCACATTAGTTATGGATTAGTAAATACTGAATCCATCATTTATAAAGCATGATTCTGCTGTAAATAGTCATTACTATGTGGTTTATAATCACAGTTATAAATGTTTTACTCTTCATTGTACTGTACATTTCTGCATGCACTTGCACATCCACTATTCAGACATGTATTAATGATTAGTGACTGTGTTAGCAGATGTTCTATAAAAACTCACAACAAATTCATTTTCTAATGATGGCCTATAAACAGTGATTAATGCAGGAATTCACAGTTACAAAGCACTTACTACTCCTTCATTAAGTATTTTGCACGAGCTGATCTAAAGTGAGCACTATCTATGGCTTATTAAGCATTTACAAATGAGATATAAAGGCTGACAATGCCTCGAGACTCACAACATGTTCAGTTATCTTAACAGACGAAGGAGAGACACAACACAAAGGGATATAGAACATATTGTATTGATATTTACTGCAACTTCCCAACATATTGTATGAAGACGAACAAGGGTGGTTTATGAAGACATGCTATTGTTGTGATCTTCTCTGTTTGGGACGTTGAGCTAGCAGTCAGCGGCTCTAGTGGAGAGTATGTGTCTTTGTTTGATAGCCGCGGGTCGGTAACGGTAGTAACGGTAGTAACGTTAGTAACGTTAGTCGGGGAGCGAGGGCAAACACCTGCAGCTGCTGACAAGCTAACGTTAGCATTTTTTCTTCACAGAAACAAAAGTTTTAAGGCAACAAAGTTCAGTTTTAGACTCAAAGTTGAATATTTGTTCACACTTTAATATTTGAGTCATAAAAACACTTTCCCTCTAACTGTGCTTTCAAAAAGAAGAAGATTTGAAAAACAAGCAGCCACATTTGATCCTAAAAATGTTCATTTTTCTCAGAGTTATAGAAGAAGATCAATTCTTTCTATCATTTCTTTCATCTCTACGTCTGCAGGCTGCACATTACCCTCACACATGATCCCTTCATCCCAGCATCCTTTGCTCTTCTCTTCCTTCAGCCTCCTCTTCCTCCTCTATTACAGTAAACACATCAGGTTGGTACTAACCAACATCAGCTGTGTGTGATCCTGTACAGACTGAACTATCTGGTCAGCAGTGAGAAAGTTTCTCTCTCCCTCCTACAGAGGACACAGAGACACTGAGGAACCAAAGCTGTAAGGCCCGAACAACCGAACCCGAACCCTAACCCGAACCCAGGATAAAGAGGTTCAGTGAATGTGGTGGTGAAGGTGTGGAGGTGGATCAGTGTGTCAGAGGAGACTGTGTAGAAGGACAGAGTGCCAGCAGGACAGTCCACATACACTGCTACTCTACCAGAGGAGGAGGAGGAGGAGGAGGAGGAGGAGGAGATGGGTGTTCTTCTCTTATTGTGCCAGACAGAGTAACGACCATCAGAGCAGAACAGACTCCAGGACTGATCATTCCCTCCAAACCAACAGTCTATACTTTTTCCTCTCCTGCTGATTCCTCTGTAACTCACTGATATATAAACTCTTCCTCTCCACTCGACCTCCCAGTAACAGCGACCAGTCAGACCATTTCTACACAGCAGCTGAGGACAGCAGTTAAATCTGTCTGGATGATCAGGATATGACTGATCCTCCTCCACATAAATCATCTTCCTGTTGTTGTCAGACAGTTTGATCTTTCTGTTCACTGTGTTTGTGTCGACTGTGAGTTCACAGGAATCTGATGGAGAGAACAAGACACAATACAGCTGCAGTTATTGATCTATCATCTGATCATTGATTGACACTTTGATGATGACATCAGAGCTGTGAATGAGTGATGTCACAGTGTGAAGATGGTTGAATGTGTGCTGCTTTGTTTTCACACTTACACTTCCTCAGACCTGGTCTCAACCATCGGACTCCAGCAGGCTCCACCCTGAAAGGAGGAGGGGGGTCAGAGCAGCATGGAAACATGGACATTACATCGCTCTCATACACAGAGCTTATTCTCTACAAATGGACTTACATCTTCACATGGAGCACTTATTATTAATCAGCTGATAGTCTTTCAGTTCAGTGGAGCTTCTTCTTATTGGCCGATGGCTACAGCTCATTATTTTCACTTATTGATGATCTATTATTATTATCAGTATTATATTTGTAACAGAATGTTTACATTGATTACCTTTAAACAGTTTAACATGGGAGGTGAATTGGTAAGAGCCGACTAAATATAATATTTCTCTGCATTTACTTATTTTTAGTGTAATGCTAATTTTTACATTTCTGGGCGCCATGTTCAGTGTTAAAGTCAGAGTTAAAAATATGCTATATGTGGGCTAATGCTCATGATTTGTATACATATGGGTTTTTCCTGATATAAATAATGTGTTTCAGTTCATGTTGAGATGATTAAAAATACATAAGGGTGAATATGAATGAGAGACATGATTGATTAGAGATAAGAGATAAGTTGTGTAACATGATTTATTAATACGGGTAAAAAAGGAAACAAAACACAATGATGTCTAAGCTTTTAAGGTCTCAGGATATAGTTCATCATTGCTTTTGTTATAAGTTACACTTGAGTTAAAGAGAGATATGATACTGTACAGTAATTGATGAGAGATAATTGGTTTTTTGAGTTGCTGGATCTACATTCTGGGTTTCCTGTGGGATGCGAGGCAGGGTTAGAGAGTATCTGGAATTCTCCATCTTCATCATCTTCCTGAAGATAAGATCTGAGCAAGCGTACAAACAAACACACACATTCTACCCGGGTAGCACATACACATTGAATACACTTGGACGGACATGGATACACACTAAGCTTTTGGACTGGACTTTGACCAACATTGATATCAGACAGCAATAAGCTGTAAAGAAACACTTTCACTTTCAGTTCTTTTATTTCTTTTATATATTGGAATGAATCTGAACTGTGATTCTACTTTTTGTTGATTGTGAAATTGTGTTTACCTTTTTACATTATTATTATTTACATTTACTCACTCCTTGAGTTGAACCTGAGTGCAGTAGTTACTTCTGTTATGAATTGGTGACATTGAACTGAATTGTTGTTTAGGTGACGCCTTTAGTTTTTCTGTTCTGTTGCCTGGATTGCTGTGTTTTTATGTAACCACAAGATGGCGCCTCAATTAGTAAAGCAAACACAGGTAACAATACAGGTGACACAGATGATGAGCTGATGACTGATAAATGTTATTCTATAGGATGAGTTAAGAGCAGTTGAATTTTGCTACTCTAATCTAACTCTAATTTGTACCTCAGGGCCGCTGGAAGTCATTTTGAACAGGGGGTGCTGTGAAAAAATTGTTTGGTATTTTTGGACAAAAAACCTATGAGCCTATAGGCCTATTTAAAATACATTTTAAAAATAAATAAATAGATTGAGATTCACTACTTTATTGTCATATACACTTCAGTGCACACAGCCAGGGTCTGTAACACACAGACATCATCAGTTCTCAGATGAATATATGCGCTATTAATTAAACTTCACAATAACGCTATAACAACACAATAGATTTGTTCAGCTGGCATGAACCTGAGTCACTGCACCATCTACGTTTATGTCACACGCGACTCTATTAGCTCCAAAATCCTTTTACGCAAACCACAAGGAAATAATCTCTGACTATTTAAACGTTATTAAACAGTTCTCCACATCCATTACGCAAAGAACACACAATCAAAATAACACTCTCCATCTCCATCCTTTTTGATTACACGCACACTGGATAGCAACGTTGTTTGTTTAGTTCACAACCTCTGTCCAGTGGCGGATGATCAAAGTTGTGAAACTAACGTTAGTCCCTGTCAGAGCATATGAGCGGAGCGGGGAGCAAAAAGGATTTTGTGTTGAGCGGCAATTTTTTTAAAGGTCGCTCCAGTCTTTGCACCTGCACACGCACACCCACACTATTTTCTTTCAAAACTATGGAGTTCAATGTGTACTTCAGAAAAGAAACTGAGAAGTCGTACAAGTGTGCTATTCCTGTAAAAGTAACAGATGGGGATAATGTGGAACAAGAAAAAGGCGACATTGTTGAAGTCTTTTCTTTTTTTTTGAGCGGAGTGGTGAGTGGAGCGGGATAAAATGTATGATGGAGCAGAACCAGGCGTAGCCGATGAGCGTCTCTCTCTCTCTCTTTTACGTCTCCGTTTCTCTTTTTAATCCTCTCAGAATCCGGTAGGTTTCCTCATACTCATCTCTAATAGACCCTGATTGGACAATGACAGGTTGACACCTGAATACTCTAATAAACAACAAAACATACAGCAGGAGGTGTTCAAGGACTGCTCAGAACACAGGAAAATTCAATATCTTCTAAAAAACATAGCAAATATACATTTCCCTGCATTAAACACAACTGATCTCACATCAGTAGTAATTTAGAATAGAATTTAAAATCCTCCTCCTCACCTATAAAGCTCTTCATGGTCAGGCCCCTTCATATCTTAAAGAGCTCATAGTACCCTATTACCCCTCTAGAACACTACGTTCTCTGAATGCTGGGCTACTTGTGGTTCCTATAGTCTCTAAAAGTAGAACAGGAGCCAGAGCCTTCAGTTACCAAGCTCCTCTCCTGTGGAACCAGCTTCCAGTTGTGGTTCTGGAGGCAGACACCCTCTCCACATTCAAGAGTAGGCTTAAGACGTTCCTCTTTGATAAAGCTTATAGTTAGGGCTGGATCAGGTGAGTCCTGAACCATCCCTTAGTTATGCTGCTATAGGCCTAGACTATCGGGGGATTTCCCATGATGCACTGAGCTCCTCTCTTCCTCTCTCTCTCTTTCTGCACTCATTCATGTTCCATTAATGCATGTTACTAACTTCACTTCTTCCCTGGAGTTCTTGTGCTTTCTTGTCTCGCAGGTTCTCATCGATCCTGGTGGAACCTCAAAATTACTGATATTATTATTGTTATGATTATTATTATTATTATTATTATTATTATTATTATTATTATTATCATTCTAATCTTATAATATATATTCTAAAATTATTATAGTTACTATTATAATTGTCCATCGTTGTTGTCATTGTCATCATCTTCATGTTCATCATCAGTTATTTCTAGTCTCTCTCTCTCTCTCTCTCTCTCTCTCTCTCGCTCTCTTTCTCTGTCTGTCTCTCTCTCTCTCTCTCTCTCTCTCTCTCTCTCTTCTTCACGGCAGAAAAGGAAGTTTTTCCTTGCCGCTGTCTCCAAGGTCTTGCTCATGGTGGGAACTGTTGGGTCTCTGTAAATAATGTTATAAGGAGTTCGGTGTAGACCTGCTCTATTTGAAAACTGTCCTGAGATAACTTCTGTTATAAATTGGTGACATACAAATAAAACTGAACTGAACTGAATTGTAGTTTTGGTGACGCCTTTAGTTTTTCTGGACTAAAAGGTAACACATGCTGATGGCAGATGACATCCATCAAAATATCCCAAACTATTTATATGAGCCCACTAACCTGCAGCGTGACAACATTGACAAATATCAACCCGCCATGATGCTCACCAACCCATCAGGATAAACCACTGTCCTATTTTCCAATGTCGAAACAAGACATCGGTCCAGAAAAACAGAAATTTCATCACCTTTCCTCTGTCACCTGACTACTAATACTGTATTGATCCGCCTCATACCTGAGAGTGTCCAGTCTCCAGTGTGGATCCTCCAGTGCAGCAGACAGCTTTGTTGCTGAGTCTACTGGATGATTGTAACTCAGGTCCAGCTCTCTCAGATGGGAAGGGTTGGAGCTCAGAGCTGAGACCAGAGAAGCACAACCTTCCTCTGTGATCAGACAGCCTGACAGCCTGCAAACACACAGAACAACACATTACATAATAAACATGTTCAAGGAAACAGACTCAAACTAAATAAACCAAACAATGATTTGAGACAATGTTAGGAAGATTACAATTGTATCCATCAACATAATTCAGGTTTAAAGTGGTTATCAGTTGAACAGGTTGACGAATCCTGACCTGAGAGTTTCCAGTTTACAGTGTGGACTCTCCAGTCCAAAAGAAAGAAGCTTCAGTCCTGAATCCTGCAGGTTGTTGTTACTCAGGTCCAGCTCTCTCAGATGGGAGGGGTTGGAGCTCAGAGCTGAGACCAGAGAAGCACAACCTTCCTCTGTGATCAGACAGCCTGACAGCCTGCAAACACACAGAACAACACATTACATAATAAACATGTTCAAGGAAACAGACTCAAACTAAATAAACAAAACAATGATTTGAGACAATGTTAGGAAGATTACAATTGTATCCATCAACATAATTCAGGTTTAGAGTGGTTATCAGTTGAACAGGTTGACAAATCCTGACCTGAGAGTTTCCAGTTTACAGTGTGGACTCTCCAGTCCAAAAGAAAGAAGCTTCAGTCCTGAATCCTGCAGGTTGTTGTTACTCAGGTCCAGCTCTCTCAGGTGGGAGGGGTTGGAGCTCAGAGCTGAGACCAGAGAAGCAAAACCTTCCTCTGTGATCAGGCAGCCTGACAGCCTGCAAACACACAAAACAACACATTACATAATAAACATGTTCAAGGAAAGAGACTCAAACTAAATAAACAAAACAATGATTTGAGACAATGTTAGGAAGATTACAATTGTATCCATCAACATAATTCAGGTTTAAAGTGGTTATCAGTTGAACAGGTTGACAAATTCTGACCTGAGAGTTTCCAGTTTACTGTGTGGATTCTTCAGTCCAACAGAAAGTAGCTTCAGTCCTGAATCCCGCAGGTTGTTGTTACTCAGGTCCAGCTCTCTCAGACTAGAGGACTGGGAGCTGAGAACTGAGGACAGAGCTTCACAGCTTCTCTCTGAGAGGTTACAGTTACTCAGTCTGTAGAGACAATGATCAACAATAAGAAAAATAACATTTGTGACCAGCACTTTATCACTCAGCCAAAACCAAAACCACTTTAAATTAGTTCTGTAAAAATGATATCAGCTAGTGAGGAGTTCCCAATGTTGGTGATATATAATGTCTTTATAATCTCTCTAAGTTGAAAAGATAGCAGAGTATTTAAGTGATAATACAGAAATCCAACTATTTCTGTACTTACAGAGCTTTGTTGGAGGCTTTGACCACTGGCAGCAGCCTCAGAAGAGCCTCCTCTGAAGCAGAGTATTTCTTCAGGTCAAACACGTCCAGATCTTTTTCTGATGACAGTAAGATGAAGACCAGAGCTGACCACTGAGCAGGAGACAGTTCATCTGTGGAGAGACGTCCTGAACTCAGGGACTGTTGGATCTCCTCCACTAGAGAACGATCATTCAGTTCATTCAGACAGTGGAACAGATTGATGCTTCTCTCTGCAGAGAGATTCTCACTGATCTTCTTCTTGATGTACTGGACTGTTTCCTGATTGGTCTGTGAGCTACTTCCTGTCTGTGTCAGCAGACCTCGTAGGAGATTCTGATTGGTCGGCAGTGAAAGACCCAGGAGGAAGCGGAGAAACAAGTCCAGGTGTCCCTGTTGACTCTCTAAGGCCTTGTCAACAGCACTCTGGTGGAGATATTTTAGATTTTCTTTGTCTTTACTTAATTCAGACAACTGGGATGTTGTTTGTTCTTCTGCCAGCAGATTGACTCCAGAGCTGATGAACGTCTGATGGACATGAAGAGCGGCCAGAAACTCCTGAACACTCAGATGGACGAAGCAAAAGACCTTGTCCTGGTACAGTCCTTTCTCCTCTTTAAAGATCTCTGTGAACACTCCTGAGTACACTGAGGCTGCTCTGATATCAATGCCACACTCTGTCAGGTCTGATTCATAGAAGATCAGGTTGCCTTTCTGCAGCTGCTCAAAAGCCAGTTTTCCCAGAGACTCAATCATCTTCCTGCTCTCTGGACTCCAGTGTGGATCTGTCTCAGCTCCTCCATCATACTTGATGGTCTTCACTTTGGACTGAACCACCAAGAAGTGGATGAACATCTCAGTCAGGGTCTTGGGCAGCTCTCCTCCCTCTGTGTTCTTCAACACATCCTCCAGAACTGTAGCAGTGATCCAGCAGAAGACTGGGATGTGGCACATGATGTGGACGCTTCGTGATGTCTTGATGTGGGAGATGATTCTACTGGCCTGCTCCTGATCTCTGAACCTCTTCCTGAAGTAGTCCTCCTTCTGTGGGTCAGTGAACCCTCTGACCTCTGTCACAATGTCAACACACTGAGGAGGGATCTGATTGGCTGCTGCAGGTCGTGTGGTTATCCAGAGGCGAGCAGAGGGAAGCAGTTTCCCCCTGATGAGGTTTGTCAGCAGCACACCCACTGAGGTGGACTCTGTAACATCAGTCAGGATCTCAGTGTTGTGGAAGTCCAGAGGAAGTCGACACTCATCCAGACCGTCAAAGATGAACACAATTTGGAACTCTTCAAACCTGCAGATTCCTGCTTCTTTGGTTTCAGTAAAGAAGTGATGAACAAGTTCCACCAAGCTGTACTTTTTCTCCTTCAGCACATTCAGCTCTCTGAAAGTGAATGGAAATGTGAACTGTATGTCCTGGTTGGCTTTGTCTTCAGCCCAGTCCAGAGTGAACTTCTGTGTTAAGACTGTTTTCCCAATGCCAGCCACTCCCTTTGTCATCACTGTTCTGATTGGTTTATTTCTTCCAAGTGAGGCTTTAAAGAAGTCTTCTTGTCTGATTGTTGTTTCTGGTCTGTGTGGTTTCCTGGATGCTGTTTCAATCTGTCTGACCTCATGTTCATCATTGACCTCTGCAGTCCCTCCCTCTGTGATGTAGAGCTCTGTGTAGATCTGGTTCAGAAGGGTTGGGTTTCCTGCTTTAGCAATCCCCTCAAACACACACTGGAACTTCTTCTTCAGGTTAGATTTAAGTTCACGTCGGCATGCTGCAGCAACAGTTCCTGGATGAAGAAAGAAGAAATGTAGTTAATAAGTAAAAGCTCCAATAAATCTGATGGATGTAAACTTTAAGACATCAAGATGGTATTTATTTTCCTCCTCCATTAAATCTCTTCAGCTCATCAGTTGTGAACAGTTTCTGTTTTCAGTCCAGAAGAATTCATAGATCTGATACAATGTGTGCATCATATTATCAGCAGAGTTTTAAAAGTAAACTTCTCCCATGTTGCCTCCATTTCCTCTTTCCATCATGTTCAATCTGATGAAATCCTCTTACTGCTCTGTAGACAGCCAGCCAGCTCCTCCTGCTTCATTCTCCTCAGGTAGTGCACTGTGATCTTCAGAAATGCCTCTCTGCTGCTCCTCCTCTGCTCTTCATCCTCACCATCCAACACCTCCTCATCCTCCCTCTGACTCTCTGAGCATTCTGGGTAATCTGAACTCAGAACCTTCTGGATCTTCTTCAGCTCGTTCTTCACAAAAGTGACAATGTTGTCCTCCAGCAGCTGGAACAGAATATTATATGAATGCCTCAATCAAAGTCAAATCATGGAAGCAAACATCAGATCCATGTTGGACAGACTGACAATCCACTGGTCTAAAAAGTGCAGCATGGAGATTATTGTGAACACAGTAGATGTAAAAGTAGTTGTTGTCCAACAGACCATAAATATGGAGTCCAGGTGTGTTTGATGCTGCTGGGCAGACTGACCACTGGGAACCTCTGAGCTCTCCTGGTCCACTCTGTGGAGGAATCATGAAGAATGAGCTCACATTATGTCTGTCCACACAGAAACAAACACAAGGTAAAGGTCCATGAAGTGATATTTGGATGTGAACAGTGAATCTGATGACTCCCTGTAGTGGTTAAGGTTTACTAGTCCTGCTGATCCCACTGAGAATCAACAGCTCAGTTTGGTTCAGTCCCAACAGCTCTCACCAACCCCTCCATATAGCTCTCCCTCCCTCACTGTACACTGCTGAAGTGCCCTGGAGCAAGGTACCTAGAGCCTCCAGCTGCTGCAGTGGAGCTGCTCAGTGTCTGCTTGTATCAGACTGGTTGTACTGGGCAGCTCCCAGTGTGAATGTGTTTGACTGTGTGAGTGTGAGGCAGCTGCTGCTGAAAGAGTGTTGGTGCACAGAGAACTTCATCTGAGTCAGTAAATGTTTAAAAACTGGAGATCTCACAACTGAGAGTCTGATAAAAACACATCATTTTATTTTCACCATCAGTTTGAAATCCTCACCTTTGATCAACAGAGTGGCAGCCGTCTTTGAAGTCTAAAGGAAAACCCATAGAGTGATCACTCTTCATGGACACACAGCTGGGTTCAGGTTTTTTCCTCCTGATAGAAAAACAGGATCAGTTCTGCACTGCACCCACAACACACTGAGACAGAACCTGCCAGTGACTGAATACACCGACTGTACACAGTGTATTTGTACCCAGGGAGTTCTTGGTTAGGATTTCTATAAAGTCAGTGTTTGATTTAGACATGTTTCACTGTGTATTTTAAAGCTGTATTCAGTGCAGTGTGCAGTATAGGCGGGGAAATGATGGAGTGGAGTGACCATATCGGTCCAATTAGGATAAAAAGAGGAACAGACGTGGTGTCAAAGCAGTGAGTTTCTATAAACTGCTGCAACTATTTGTTCACTGTGAAACTGAGGCTGTTGTAAATTGAGCTGATCAGACACAAACCATCACCGTCCATTAAAAGACATTTTAAAAGATTTACAACTGGAGATTTCACAACTGAGAGTCTGATAAAAACACATCATTTTATTTTCACCATCAGTTTGAAATCCTCACCTTTGAGCAACAGAGTGGCGGCCATCTTTGAAGTCTAAAGGAAAACCCATAGAGTGATCACTCTTCATGGACACACAGCTGGGTTCAGGTTCAGGACAGTCTGGTCTCTGATGGATCCTGATAGAAAGAAATTCATTAAAGCTCACATATTCAGAAACATTCTCACTGAATCAAAGACTTTGTGAAATGATGTATAATTTGAAATGTTTGAATACAGGGCTGGACAATAAGAACAATGTCTTCAATTACTGACATTATGGACGTGTTACTGAACACAATTTACTGATGTCACACACTTCAACACACTGTCTGAATTCCATATAATTAAAGTGAGAGCAGCTACAACATCTAACCAGAGAGCAATCAGCTCCCAGTCCAGTCCAGAAGAGCAGAATGTGGAACTGGTCAGACTGGAATGAATCAGGACAAACATCAGCAGTGAGCAACATGAGGAAGGAAATCTGCTCTGATTGATTCAAACACATGTTACTGTTACATTTCTCATTATGAAGCTGACAGTTTGTCCTGATACTGATTTGAGATCAGATTGTCCAGCCCTGTTTGAATACTGACAACTACGTACTTTTGCTCAGATAAATGTCTTTGTTTCAAATGGAGAATCAAAGCCTTTGTGACATGGAGAAGAGTCATAGACAGTTAGAGATCCTCATCTCACCTCTGAGCTTTGGTCCTTGTGTCATGTTCCCCACACAGAGTGCTTTTAGAGGAAGGGACTCCCTCCTCTCTGTCCTCACACTGATTCATAGCAGAGCCCACACCTTCACACAGACACAGCAACCTGCTGGGAGAGATCACACATTATTCCCCATTATTCCTCTAAGTCACATGACAAACACACACAGCTCTGATTGGAGGGATTAGTCGACTCGCAGCAACCTGAACTCAGAAATGTTGAGTACCAAAGTTTTATGTCAGAAATGTACAGTGTGGGTCCCCAGCATTTACAAACTGACAGATTCCAACTCAATTATCATTATTAATATTAATAAGCATGTATGTATGTCTGTATGGAGAATATTTCAACAGATACTATAGTAGTGGTTTTGGGAGTTGCTGAGGATGATGGATCAAATTCTGACATTTAAAAAATACAAAATTGCACTTATATTTATTTTATTTGAACTCCAGGTTCACTAATATTGAGGTTATTTATATGCATAATACATTGGAACTGCAGTTTAGGAAGCTCTTTGTCGTTGGTGTTCAGATATTTATTCAAATTTCTGCTGGTGTTCTTTTGCTGTGCAGCATTTTCTCATTGACCTGTGTCTCTGCAGCTGTTGTTATGCATTAAGCAAATAAATAATCTCAAAATTGACTAAAAAATCCTCAAAAATCAGCCCACTTGGAGATGAAATGTTGCCACAGATGTCAGAAATTGATTAATCGTCCTCAATAACCCCCCAAAAAACCCTCCTCTATTTTCCAAATCAGCCAAACAATTACTGAAATATTGTCCATATAGCTGATTATGAATGTTGATTATGCTAATTGACCAACATATGCAAGTTAGCATCTGTCAGTGTGTAAGTGCTGGAGATGCAGACTGTATATTTCTAACACACAATAGGACAATAGGACTCTACTGGCTGATATAAACGGCTCATTCAGCTCAATACTAAATCCACTCATCTGACAGTTTCCATGGCAGAGTAGAAATGTTGTTGGCACTTTGAGCTGCAGTATCTAAGAAATGACATTCACAATGCTCTTTAGTCTGTGGGGTTGGTTGAAGACTAGAGGAATACACTTCATGTTGCTGTTTCACTTCTATTTGACTGATTTTGAAAAGCTGCTCAACAGTTGAAATGTTGCTCTTTTTCCAAGTCTACTATATCCAGTCAGAGCATGCAGTGGCAGCTAGTCCAATAATCCAAAATCAATCCTGTTACCTTGGCAGCTGCTGCTGAATTCACATCCACATCAGCTCCCAGAGACTTTCTACCTTCATCTGTAGAGGAAACACTGAGAGCAGAGCTGAAAGCATCAGTCCAATCACTGATCAGCACTGAGAACTCATCATCACTCATTCATCCTTTACATCAGTGGTTCCCAACCTTTTTCTATCACTGAGTAAACTGACGACCCCTGACTGAGTGACATATTTTATACATATTTCATATTATATCCAAAACTGTACAATCAACCCAAATATTGAACTCAGTAACTGCAAGAAGTTGAAGTTGATTCTGATGAATTCTGAGCAGATTATTTCCTGTTTAGGGAACTTTTTATACAGTTTGTCTGTGTTATGTATCTTTTATCATTTTTAACAATCATAAATACTTAATATGCTTCTTTTTGGACAAATTCACTGTTTTCTTGTCCCTGATGTTTGGTCATTGATCTATTAGACAGTTTACTTTACATTGACTTTTCTTCACAGAAGTGAACCAGATGCTGAGATATAGGCCAACCTACAGACCCCCCATGAAGCTTTGGTGACCACTAGCGGGGGTCCCGACCCTCAGGTTGGGAACCACTGATTTACATAATTTCTCCTGTAAAACTATCAGCTGCTTCTCCACTGATTGGCTGCTTCTCTCTGTTTCATCTCAGTGTCAGTTGAATCCCTTTGTCTTGTTGGACTGTTGCTCAGACTAAAGAAGCAGTTAGAAAACATGACTGTGAACTCTGGGAACTACTGATGGCCTTTTCTCATCACTGTCACACATTGCAAACGAATCAATACATGGATCAATAGTGGTTTGTTATTGGCCAGAGGAGATGCTGCTTGTTCTCATTGGTCAGTGTTGAGGAAGAATGAGAGCAGAAAGCTGCCATCAGCTGCTCTACTTCTACTATCAGTCCACTAGATGGCCTCATGGAGCTGCATTTATCTGACAGCTTTACTTCCTGTTTACTTTTCAAACATGGGATCAGTTTATAAAAAAGAATTCATTATTTTACATTCAAGCAGCCAAAAGTATTTGAAGTAGTTCATATTGGCTCCACCTGCAGCAACTCCAACATTAAAGTACTGATTACATGTTAATGCATCAATAATAATCATCCACTAATATAATAATACAACACTGACAGAGGCCATTCTGTACACTGACTACTTTCACTTTACATACTTCAACTACATTGATAAGGTGAGCTCATAAAGACAGACAGAAATCATACAGTGAGTACTCTGAGTACTGTCAGTGAGTACTCTGATTACTTTGAACAGTGACACACTGACAGTAAGATGGAGGAAACTCTTCCTCCATGTTGGTTCTCAGTTGACTGTTAGTAGAGTTTTCTGCTCTTTCTACTGAACTAAACTAACAAGATGAACAAAGAGTCATTGAGGAGTCAAACAGTGAAAAGTGTCTCTTACTAACCTTCACATGGACAGAAGAAGAAGCTGCGACACGACGAGCTCACAAAGTGAAAGTAAACTGTGGACAGGAAGTGGCTGTGACGTCACGGTTGTCAGGGCAACGGCAGGTGTGGGGGAGGGAAGAGAGATAAGACTGAGTGAGTGTCTGCAGAGAGAGACTGGGAGCTTCAACTACATTGTGCTGATAATACTTCTGTAACTGAGGAACTGTTTTAATGCAGCACTTTAAGTTGTAATGCAGTATTTCTGTAGTGTAGTATTACTACTTTTACTATTTTCAGCTTTGAACTGTTGGTCAGACAACATTGTGTCACTGTGGGCTCTGGATGATTGTAACGGGCATTTCTCAATATATTCTCAAGTTGTACAATTTAGATTAATGACAATAATAATTAGTCACAGTCCTTCCTAAATAGTTGAAATCAGCTCCACCTGAGCAGCTACAACAGCCAAATACAGCAGTAATAATAATCTAATGATAGAATATAATATAGTGTAACACCTGTTGTTCCTTACTCCCCCCAGGGTGGCCTGACTCCATCCTGTGTTCCTCTAATCCAAGTCTACAGGAGGATGGACTGGTCTCTGAGGCCTCTGGTTACTGGTTGAGGGTCAGTCCCCATACTGGGGTCAGAGGCCCGACCCTCCACCACAGGGAGCTTTAAACCTGCCGTGTCGTGGGTAAATCTCTGTTTTCAACCCCAGAGGAGAAGGCCTCCAGCTTGGTTTTGACTCACGTGTTGATCCCACTCTCTATGATCTCTTCTAACCTATGACACTCTCCAGTTTAAAGGATATCACACATACAGAAAGGCAGTTCCCATCATATATGACCTCTGTACAATGAACATATACAGATATCAAACATTTCTGATGCCCACCAACATACAGCAGACAGAGGCCCTGGAGAGGACTACTTAACTCACCTGGAGGATGCTGTATTCCTTGTACACCAAAAGGAAAATGTAATAAAATGTTGTTATCCGCCTTTAAAAAATATTTTTCTGTGGCCAAAACAAAAAACTAAACTGTTTGTGAGAAATAACAAAGTCTCTCTGTACCACGTCTGTTGACTATGTTGTTCCTCTTTCTCTTCCCCCTCAGATAGAGGAACATTCATCATGTGTCTTCCTGTTAGACGGCCATTATTGCTAAACCACATAGTTCATGTTAACTCAGTGAGTGCCTGTATAAGTCCTTTATTTGTTTCTGTGGGGCAATTGATTTTGCCACAGTAGCAACAACAGTAACACAGGGTGAGACATACAGATAGAAAGAAAAACACACTAATGACTACACATATTTAAACACATAAAAACATAAAACATTAAAACATCATTCTTTGAAAACTTCCTTTTCAGAGGCACAAACCTTGGACAGACCCCGGCTCTAGGTGGGTGGAAGAATTGATCTTCTTCTATAACTCTGAGAAACATTGGCTCAAATCAAATGTGGCTGCTTGTTTTTCAAATCTTTTGAACCCACGATAACAGGGAAAGTGTTTCTATGACTCAAATGTTAAAATATGAACAAATATTCAACTCTGAGTCTAAAACTGAACTTTGGTGGTAAAAACTTTCTGTGAACAAAAAATGTGTTCAAATGTCAAACAAGAGTCTTTCAGGATCAAATTCAGCATCTGTGTAAAAATAGTTCCAAGGTGTAAAGAGTGGCTTTGATCTGAACAAACTAAATTCATCATCTTTGGTCATCGTGGAACAAATGTACAAACTTTGATCTACTCAGGTTTTATGCTCATGGTTGTCTAATATAGTTTTATATATCAGTACTCACGTGCAGTCTCATGTTCTTTTAACTGTACAACCCGGGGCCCCTTTGCTTAAAAATCAGCTTTTGTGTTAACATTTGAACACTCAACTCAATTAGATAAAATTCAGACTCAATGAAAATGAATAAAATTCACAAATACATGTTAAAAGTAAGATTTAATAAAGTACATTTTTAACTCTGATACCGGCACACATTGTTCCTATGTTTTTATGTTCAAGAGAGCAAGGGGATGAAAGTTTCTTGAGTTTTGAACTGCAATTGTGTACACAATATAAAAAATATGAAAGAAGCTGAATGAACTTTGAACGTTTGAATGAACTTTCTACTTTGAAACATTTAGAAGAAGGTGCCAAAATAATCTGGCTCCTCCCATACACTGCTCATAGGCTGATACCTGCTGGTGACTTTATGGAACTGCACAGAGGGCACACACACGGAGGTGACACGGTCTTCTTTGTAAATTGTAATATTAACTCACAACCCATTAACGCTGCTATGAAACTTATGTGTCTTGTTGGCAAATATCATATCCATAAGGCTGGAACGCTTCAAACCTAATGTTCATCTGTATTTTGTTGAATTATAATTTCTCTTTGACTTTGATTAACAAACAAGAAAGCCATAAGACCTCTCAAATATTTGGATAATTACTATGTAAAAGTAAACAATAACTTCTATACATACATACTGTATATGTGACTTTATAATTCGCTCCTACAATGTGATGTCATTCAGAAACTTTTTATTTTATATGTGTAACAGGTGTGTGGATTGGGCATAAACAGAGGACGACTCACAGAACTGTTAACCAGCATTTATTTGCTCCTGCAGAAGACAATATAGCACATTCATTTCCTTCTGCTCTTTTTTTCCTGCACCTCTGCTTCCTCAGCAATGCAAAACAACACTGTGTGATTTCATTATCTTTCTGAAAATACATATAGATAAATTAAAGTTTACCCACTGACTGAATTAACAAAATAAATATGCAACGTACAGTTACACTTTCAAAATAAAGCCAGAAGAGAAACGTTTGATGTTTATTATCTATTATATACTTATAACAGAACCTCTGCTAATATTTTACTTGTCCACAGACAACAGATCAATTCTACCAGCTAGAAACTGTAAACGGAGAGTTTTATATAACCCAAACAACCAATAATCTAATATTCTGTATAGATCAATGCATATTTTATTCATCAAATCACAGGATTTTATAAGCACAATCATGAATGCGTTTCATTTTTATTCCTCTGCGTTTGTTGTAGATTTCTTCTTAAAATCATTATTGAAAAAACATTCAAATATACAAACCATTGGACGACAGAGCGGTTTTAGTAATTTCCTGTCTGTGTGTCACGTAGGTTTACTTTAGCCACTGCCAGTGCTGTTAAATATAATTAAATATGAAATATGAATATTTCACGTCACTGCCACTCCCCTTTAGGAGCCCTGTAGCATCCTGATTCTGTTGACTCTATAGGGAGAAATAAACGTGAGCTCAGATTATGAACATGAAGACTTCTGAACATTTGGACTCTGTATATATGACTTGCATATTAAAAACTAAAGGAGATGTGGATGAGTGTGTGAAAGAAACATTCAAAATGTAATGAAAAAGGCAAACTGAAACTGAACTGAAATAAAACAAATGAACAAATCTTTATTTTTACTCATGCAGAGAGAGAGAGAGAGACAGAGAGAGAGAGAGAGAGAGAGAGAGAGAGAGAGAGAGAGAGAGAACAACATTCACCAAGACACACAAACAAAAACATTAAATGGAGCCTATAAAGTTGCTGGCAGGCTCCCAGGTATCTTCTCAAGTTTTGCCACTGAAAAAAAAGAATGAATGCAAACAAGTGTAAGATCATTGCAGATACCACAATATTAGTTTATATTAATGGGGTATCATAGAACAACAAATGACTTAGGATCGGTTTTTCAGAAGCCTGGTACTAACCTAGTATGGAAGTAAGTACATATATATTTATAAAGCATACTGTAAAAAAAGCCAACAGCTTTAAAATCAGCTAATGTGGATCAAAGTTCTGAGTTATTACCAAGAGGAACAAGGCAGCCAGCTCACTTTTACCTCTTCTCTTCTCTGCACACACACACACACACACACACACACACACAAAGAGAGAGAAACACAAACACAGACAGCAGCTGCAAAGTTGTAATAATTGTTATAGTATGCTGCAATAATAGCAGATATAACATTATGTTTTTTGATGGATGTTTAATTAAGCAATTGTATTGCAAAGTGAATAAAAAATATTAAAAATGAGAATGTTTTGGTGTCTTGATTTAAGACAAAGTCACTTATTTTTTTAATGCTATTTGAAGAAATTGTGTCTTATTTTAACTACTTTTATACTTGTTATTAATCCCAGATTAAGCTGTCATTTCTTAAAATTAACTCAGTCAAGAGACCAAAATTCTAATTTTAAGTAACTTAATCTGGGTTTTCTGGTTTTTCATTGCTTTTTATAGAAAAATTTACTTAAATTTAAGATTTTCTGTCTAGTTTTAAGGCCCATTTTAGTCTGTCAGAGGAAGAACTTTGTGCTTATTTTAAGAATTCTTGTCAAGTAAAAAAAGCTTACCCCATTGACAGATGTTTTTGCTGGATATAAGATAATTTGGTAACACTTTATAACGAGTACACACTATTAAGCATTAGTTAAGCATGAATAAACACTGAAATCATCATTTATAACGCATGAATACACATTAGTATGTAGTTTATAAACACAGTTATACATGTTTTATTCATCATTGATAAGCACATTAGTTATGGATTAGTAAATACTGAATCCATCATTTATAAAGCATGATTCTGCTGTAAATAGTCATTACTATGTGGTTTATAATCACAGTTATAAATGTTTTACTCTCCATTGTACTGTACATTTCTGCATGCACTTGCACATCCACTATTCAGACATGTATTAATGATTAGTGACTGTGTTAGCAGATGTTCTATAAAACTCACAACAAATTCATTTTCTAATGATGGCCTATAAACAGTGATTAATGCAGGAATTCACAGTTACAAAGCACTTACTACTCCTTCATTAAGTATTTTGCACAAGCTGAACTAAAGTGAGCACTATCTATGGCTTATTAAGCATTTACAAATGAGATATAAAGGCTGACATTGCCTCGAGACTCACAACATGTTCAGTTATCTTAACAGACGAAGGAGAGACACAACACAAAGGGATATAGAACATATTGTATTGATATTTACTGCAACTTCCCAACATATTGTATGAAGACGAACAAGGCTGGTTTATGAAGACATGCTATTGTTGTGATCTTCTCTGTTTGGGACGTTGAGCGAGCAGTCAGCGGCTCTAGTGGAGAGTATGTGTCTTTGTTTGGTAGCGGCGGGTCGGTAACGTTAGTAACGTTAGTCGGGGAGCGAGGGCAAATACCTGCAGCTGCTGACAAGCTAACGTTAGCATTTTTTCTTCACAGAAACAAAAGTTTTAAGGCAACAAAGTTCAGTTTTAGACTCAAAGTTGAATATTTGTTCACACTTTAATATTTGAGTCATAAAAACACTTTCCCTCTAACTGTGCTTTCAAAAAGAAGAAGATTTGAAAAACAAGCAGCCACATTTGATCCTAAAAATGTTCATTTTTCTCAGAGTTATAGAAGAAGATCAATTCTTTCTATCATTTCTTTCATCTCTACGTCTGCAGGCTGCACATTACCCTCACACATGATCCCTTCATCCCAGCATCCTTTGCTCTTCTCTTCCTTCAGCCTCCTCTTCCTCCTCTATTACAGTAAACACATCAGGTTGGTACTAACTAACATCAGCTGTGTGTGATCCTGTACAGACTGAACTATCTGGTCAGCAGTGAGAAAGTTTCTCTCTCCCTCCTACAGAGGACACAGAGACACTGAGGAACCAGACCTGAACCAGAACCCGAACCCAGGATAAAGAGGTTCAGTGAATGTGGTGTTGAAGGTGTGGAGGTGGATCAGTGTGTCAGAGGAGACTGTGTAGAAGGACAGAGTGCCAGCAGGACAGTCCACATACACTGCTACTCTACCGGAGGAGGAAGAGGAAGAGGAGGAGGAGGAGGAGGAGGAGGAGGAGGAGGAGGAGGAGGAGGAGATGGAGATGGGTGTTCTTCTCTTATTGTGACAGACAGAGTAACGACCATCAGAGCACTCCAGACTCCAGGACTGATCATTCCATCCAAACAAACAGTCTCTACTGTTTCCTCTCCTGCTGATTCCTCTGTAACTCACTGATATATAAACTCCTCCTCTCCACTCGACCTCCCAGTAACAGCGACCAGTCAGACCATTTCTACACAGCAGCTGAGGATAGTAAAATCTGTCTGGATGATCAGGATATGACTGATCCTCCTCCACATTAATCATCTTCCTGTTGTTGTCAGACAGTTTGATCTTTCTGTTCACTGTGTTTGTGTCGACTGTGAGTTCACAGGAATCTGATGGAGAGAACAAGACACAATACAGCTGCAGTTATTGATCTATCATCTGATCATTGATTGACACTTTGATGATGACATCAGAGCTGTGAATGAGTGATGTCACAGTGTGAAGATGGTTGAATGTGTGCTGCTTTGTTTTCACACTTACACTTCCTCAGACCTGGTCTCAACCATCGGACTCCAGCAGGCTCCACCCTGAAAGGAGGAGGGGGGGTCAGAGCAGCATGGAAACATGGACATTACATCGCTCTCATACACAGAGCTTATTCTCTACAAATGGACTTACATCTTCACATGGAGCACTTATTATTAATCAGCTGATAGTCTTTCAGTTCAGTGGAGCTTCTTCTTATTGGCCGATGGCTACAGCTCATTATTTTCACTTATTGATGATCTATTATTATTATCAGTATTATATTTGTAACAGAATGTTTACATTGATTACCTTTAAACAGTTTAACATGGGAGGTGAATTGTTAAGAGCCGACTAAATATAATATTTCTCTGCATTTACTTATTTTTAGTGTAATGCTAATTTTTACATTTCTGGGCGCCATGTTCAGTGTTAAAGTCAGAGTTAAAAATATGCTATATGTGGGCTAATGCTCATGATTTGTATACATATGGGTTTTTCCTGATATAAATAATGTGTTTCAGTTCATGTTGAGATGATTAAAAATACATAAGGGTGAATATGAATGAGAGACATGATTGATTAGAGATAAGAGATAAGTTGTGTAACATGATTTATTAATACGGGTAAAAAGGAAACAAAACACAATGATGTCTAAGCTTTTAAGGTCTCAGGATATAGTTCATCATTGCTTTTGTTTAGAAGTTACACTTGAGTTAAAGAGAGATATGATACTGTACAGTAATTGATGAGAGATAATTGGTTTTTTGAGTTGCTGGATCTACATTCTGGGTTTCCTGTGGGATGCGAGGCAGGGTTAGAGAGTATCTGGAATTCTCCATCTTCATCATCTTCCTGAAGATAAGATCTGAGCAAGCGTACAAACAAACACACACATTCTACCCGGGTAGCACATACACATTGAATACACTTGGACGGACATGGACACACACTAAGCTTTTGGACTGGACTTTGACCAACATTGATATCAGACAGCAATAAGCTGTAAAGAAACACTTTCACTTTCAGTTCTTTTATTTCTTTTATATATTGGAATGAATCTGAACTGTGATTCTACTTTTTGTTGATTGTGAAATTGTGTTTACCTTTTTACATTATTATTATTTACATTTACTCACTCCTTGAGTTGAACCTGAGTGCAGTAGTTACTTCTGTTATGAATTGGTGACATTGAACTGAATTGTTGTTTAGGTGACGCCTTTAGTTTTTCTGTTCTGTTGCCTGGATTGCTGTGTTTTTATGTAACCACAAGATGGCGCCTCAATTAGTAAAGCAAACACAGGTAACAATACAGGTGACACAGATGATGAGCTGATGACTGATAAATGTTATTCTATAGGATGAGTTAAGAGCAGTTGAATTTTGCTACTCTAATCTAACTCTAATTTGTACCCCAGGGCCGCTGGAAGTCATTTTGAACAGGGGGTGCTGTGAAAAAATTGTTTGGTATTTTTGGACAAAAAACCTATGAGCCTATAGGCCTATTTAAAATACATTTTAAAAATAAATAAATAGATTGAGATTCACTACTTTATTGTCATATACACTTCAGTGCACACAGCCAGGGTCTGTAACACACAGACATCATCAGTTCTCAGATGAATATATGCGCTATTAATTAAACTTCACAATAACGCTATAACAATGCAATAGATTTGTTCAGCTGGCATGAACCTGAGTCACTGCACCATCTACGTTTATGTCACACGCGACTCTATTAGCTCCAAAATCCTTTTACGCAAACCACAAGGAAATAATCTCTGACTATTTAAACGTTATTGAACAGTTCTCTACATCCATTACGCAAAGAACACACGATCAAAATAACACTCCATCTCCATCCCCACCACCTTGCAAAAATACTATAGTGTGACGTTAAACTGCATGAATAGATATGAAAGTGCGCAGCGGCACCATGCTCTCACTTTGAGCTACAGACAGGGTGCCCTGGTTACAGGTGTCCAAATGTCGAGGTGCGCTCTGGGGTCGTGGAGATAAAGTCTCTCATGTGGGGACGAATGTCCAGGGAGTTCAGAATGTCTGTGTGGGCATGCATCAGTGAAAGGTGTGTGAGTCTTTTCTTGGTCATGGTGCTGCGTACCCATGTCTTCAAAAGACGCAAGGCGGAGAAAGTGCGCTCGGATGAGGCCACGGAGATGGGTAGGCACAGACATAACTCGATCAGTTTTTCTGTCTCTGAAAACATGGCTCTTGTTTGTGGCTGGAGCTTTGTCAAACATGATGCTACATCTTGGACTGTGACACACTTAGACCCTCTGTCTTTTGTGACATCGGCAAGCTGCTTGAGAACCTCTTTACTCGGCGACCACTAGCCTGACTGACGTTGACGACGTAACTTCTGTGAACCTTTGTTGATTAGGCCTCAGAATAATTAAATTAAAATCCAAAATACACGTAATAGCCTACGTGTGTCAAAATCATTTCCCCAAAATATTCATAAAGAATTTGTAAATTGTGCAAAATATTTTTGATACTTTTTTAAAAATCTCCCTGTCACCACTAGAGGGTGCTGCAGCACCCCTACTTCCCGCGGCCATGTTGTACCCTATCCTGAACATAATTACTGATCGAAAATAGACGAGGTAAAATAACCAGAGATACTTGAGGACTGTGATAGGTGGAAATTGAATATTTTTACCAGCATAGACACCTTTATTTGACAGTTACGAGACAGGAAGTCATGTGAGAGAGAGTGAGAGAGAGAGAGAGAGAGAGAGAGAGAGAGAGAGAGAGTGAGAGAGAGAGAGAGAGAGAGAGGGGGATGTGACATGCAGCAAAGGACCGGGATTCGAACCGCGGTCGGCTGCGTACGTATACGCATTAAACTTCGCTATGCCATGGCGACCCCACACTAGCTTTGTGTCCCATCTTGGCCACCCCAGTAAAAATGTCCTGGATATGCCACTGCACACGAGGCTAATGCTAGTTAGCATACAGTCCACACTTCAGTTTATGCTCTTGTTCAGCACAAACACCAAAACTTGTGTTCTTCGTCCTCTCAGCAGAATCCAGACTCATAAAAACCGTCAGCGTTTGAATTAAAGAAATAAAGTAACTTTAACAACACTTAACAAACTCATGAACAGCACAGCGTCTCTCTCTCTCTCTCTCTCTCTCTCTCTCTCTCTCTCTCTTACGTCTCCGTTTCTCTTTTTAATCCTCTCAGAATCCGGTAGGTTTCCTCATACTCATCTCTAATAGACCCTGATTGGACAATGACAGGTTGACACCTGAATACTCTAATAAACAACAAAACATACGGCAGGAGGTGTTCAAGGACTGCTCAGAACACAGGAAAATTCAATATCTTCTAAAAAACATAGCAAATATACATTTCCCTGCATTAAACACAACTGATCTCACATCAGTAGTAATTCAGAATAGAATTTAAAATCCTCCTCCTCACCTACAAAGCTCTTCATGGTCAGGCCCCTTCATATCTTAAAGAGCTCATAGTACCCTATTACCCCTCTAGAACACTACGTTCTCTGAATGCTGGGCTACTTGTGGTTCCTATAGTCTCTAAAAGTAGAACAGGAGCCAGAGCCTTCAGTTACCAAGCTCCTCTCCTGTGGAACCAGCTTCCAGTTGTGGTTCTGGAGGCAGACACCCTCTCCACATTTAAGAGTAGGCTTAAGACGTTCCTCTTTGATAAAGCTTATAGTTAGGGCTGGATCAGGTGAGTCCTAAACCATTGCAGGTACTCATGGATCCTGGTGGAGCCTCAATATTACTGATATTATTATTATTATTATGATTATTATTATTATATATCATATATATTAAATATATCTAATATATAATAATAAATGCCCAAAAGTCAAATTATTGCAGCAAAATATGTCTCCTCATGCCACGAACTGAGGACAACTAAACAAATTAAATTACTTTTGTCTTTTAATATATACACTCACACTCACGTTTACAGTTTTATTTATTTATTTTAATTTAATATTTTAATTTTCTAAAACACACATCTTCTTCATCAGTCATTTCTAGTCTCAAATTCAATTCAATTCAAAATGGGCTTTATTGGCATGAAAGTTTTTTAAAAAGCAATATTGCCAAAGTAAAGTATTCAAATACAATACAATAAATCAAAGATATATACATTATTATTATATGAACATTATATTAGTTATATACAGTGTGTGTGTCTGTGTGTGTCTGTGTGTGCGTGTGTCTTAATCATTCACTGTCCCTCAGGTTGTGGCATGTTAATACATACTGGGCAGCAAGGTGTGCTCGCTCTCCTTCTCCGAGGAGCATTTCTAATTTGGAGAGGTCGTTCATCTCTTTGAAATCTGGTATCAAAGAGACGAACTTGTTCAAATAATTTTTTCTAGTAATATTTAATTTTGTACATTGTAGGAGAAAGTCAGAAAGTCTCTCTCTCTCTCTCTCTCTCTCTCTCTCTCTCTCTCTCTGTCTCTCTCTCTCTCTATCTCTCTCTCTCTGTCAGGGCAGAAAAGGAAGTTTTTCCTTGCCGCTGTCTCCAAGGTCTTGCTCATGGTGGGAACTGTTGGGTCTCTGTAAATAATGTTATGAGGAGTTCGGTCTAGACCTGCTCTATTTGAAAACTGTCCTGAGATAACTTCTGTTATGAATTGGTGACATACAAATAAAACTGATTTGAACTGAACTGAACTGAATTGTAGTTTAGGTGACGCCTTTAGTTTTTCTGGACTAAAAGGTAACACACGCTGATGGCAGATGACATCCATCAAAATATCCCAAACTATTTATGATGTGAGCCCACAAACCTGCAGCGTGACAACATTGACAAATATCAACCCGCCATGATGCTCACCAACCCATCAGGATAAACCACTGTCCTATTTTCCAATGTCGAAACAAGACATCGGTCCAGAAAAACAGAAATTTCATCACCTTTCCTCTGTCACCTGACTACTACTACTGTATTGATCCGCCTCATACCTGAGAGTGTCCAGTCTCCAGTGTGGATCCTCCAGTGCAGCAGACAGCTTTATTGCTGAGTCTCCTGGATGATTGTAGCTCAGGTCCAGCTCTCTAAGATGGGAGGGGTTGGAGCTCAGAGCTGAGACCAGAGAAGCACAACCTTCCTCTGTGATCAGACAGTGTGACAGCCTGCAAACACACAGAACAACACATTACATAATAAACATGTTCAAGGAAAGAGACTCAAACTAAATAAACAAAACAATATTAGGAAGATTACAATTTTATCCATCAACATAATTCAGGTTTAAAGTGGTTATCAGTTGAACAGGTTGACAAATTCTGACCTGAGAGTTTCCAGTTTACAGTGTGGACTCTTCAGTCCAACAGAAAGCAGCTTCAGTCCTGAATCCTGCAGGTCGTTCATACTCAGGTCCAGCTCTCTCAGACTAGAGGACTGGGAGCTGAGAACTGAGACCAGAGAAGCACAACCTTCCTCTGTGATCAGACAGCCTGACAGCCTGCAAACACACAGAACAACATGTAGTCCGGTGTAAAAGTACAGGGGTTAAAACAAGTTAATTTGTAATACAAATAACTGTTGGTAATTGGCCGTAGGTAAGGGAGTGAACAAAAAAAGGGGCGGGAGAATCGAGCCAAGAGGACGCCATTGCTGAACGGGAAGGACTGTTTCACGCTTCCTGAGGAGGACTTTACTTCTTCTGCCGTTGGCTTTCATCTTCATCTCTTCATTAACTGTTTCTCCAGGACTTATTCCAGACCGTGAGTTGGATTTTTCGTGTGACTGTTAATTGTCACTGAGGATAAGTATTTGCCTGCCGCACCGCACCGAGCAACACACAGGCCTTTTTTAGTTTTTGTGTGCGTGTGAGAGTGTGTGTGTGTGTGTGTGTCTGTGTGTGTGTGTGTGTGAGAGTGTGTGTGTGCGTGTGAGTGTGTGTGGGCCCACTGTTTTGTTTAGAGTTCAGTTAAGTAGCATATTTGATCTGAGTTTGATAAGTATAGAGAAATCATATTAAGGGGTAAGAACTAGGAATTATTTGAATTTTGAATAGTATTTTGATATTGCCAATTCTATTTTGCTTATTATAAGTGTCTATTTTTCTACAGTGTTTTGCCAATTTTGGTAAAGGGTATTTTGTTTACAACTATAATATTTTTATTTTAAAGAAGTCCAATTTGAGTAATTGTGTTATTTCATTTTTAATATCTGTTAACTAGCAAAGTAAATATTATTTGAGTTAAACTGGAAAACAACTGGTTAGTTAACTATTATTTCATTTATTTGAAAGAGTTGTCTGGGGTCAGTTATTTAAAATAGTGTAGAGTACGTGTGAATAGAGCCACTGCTTAGTCTAACAAAGTTGTTGGTTATTCAGTCCTTCCAGAAGAATGCAGAGTTTTTTCGTGATTGTTGCGGGCAAAAATCCTTCATTATGCGGCACGTTTTCTTAAAAATGCGATGGAATATGATATTTAGGCAATTGTATGCGATGAAATTGCGGGAACTTGAAAAAACTGCGGTTCGATGAAAAAGAGAAAAAAAGGTGATTCCTCCTTTTTGAAACTAGTTTGATTTAACCCACTGGTAACAAAAAAGTGCAATCTTACAACTGTTTTTGTTGGCAAATGAGACTGATTTTCAGGCTTCATCATGGCTTCATCGCGGGGTTTGCAGCTTTTCGATGATGTTCATGTCACGTAATTATGTCACTTTATAACATTCCCATGGCAACAGGGGAAAATGGCTGCTCTTGTGTGAAGTAAATGCAACATTTTTCAACTGTCTGCTAAGATATATGTGACTTTTTTGCAACGAAAATGCAGGGATTATGAAATCATGCAAGCCCCACATATTTTGCGTGGAAAGTGCAGCATGTTTGAAAAAAATGCAGCCCATCAGACTTTGGCTGATTATGCATTGAATTATGTGATCGCATAATCGCGTGTTTCTGGAGGGACTGGTTGTTCATAAAGTATTAGGCCATAAAAAGTTTCACACAAAACAGGTAAACCTTCGTGGTAGCTACCTTAATAAATCGAACCCAAACACCCCATCATTCAAGTCCAAGGTGAGTTGCTTTAACTTAAGCATTTACTGAGTGTTGGGGTGCTACAAACACATTACATAATAAACATGTTCAAGGAAAGAGACTCAAACTAAATGAACAAAACAATGTTAGAAAGATTACAATTCTATCCATCAACATAATTCAGGTTTAAAATGGTTATCAGTTGAACAGGTTGACGAATCCTGACCTGAGAGTTTCCAGTTTACAGTGTGGACTCTTCAGTCCAACAGAAAGCAGCTTCAGTCCTGAATCCTGCAGGTTGTTGTTACTCAGGTCCAGCTCTCTCAGACTAGAGGACTGGGAGCTGAGAACTGAGGACAGAGCTTCACAGCTTCTCTCTGAGAGGTTACAGCGACTCAGTCTGTAGAGACAATGATCAACAATAAGAAAAATAACATTTGTGACCAGCACTTTATCACTCAGCCAAAACCAAAAACACTTTAAATTAGTTCTGTAAAAATGATATCAGCTAGTGAGGAATTCCCAATGTTGGTGATATATAATGTCTTTATAATCTCTCTAAGTCGAAAAGATAGGAGAGTATTTAAGTGATAATACAGAAATCCAACTATTTCTGTACTTACAGAGCTTTGTTGGAGGCTTTGACCACTGGCAGCAGCCTCAGAAGAGCCTCCTCTGAAGCAGAGTATTTCTTCAGGTCAAACACTTCCAGATCTTTTTCTGATGACAGTAAGATGAAGACCAGAGCTGACCACTGAGCAGGAGACAGTTTATCTGTGGAGAGACGTCCTGAACTCAGGGACTGTTGGATCTGATCCACTAGAGAACGATCATTCAGTTCATTCAGACAGTGGAACAGATTGATGCTTGTCTCTGCAGAGAGATTCTCACTGATCTTCTTCTTGATGTACTGGACTGTTTCCTGATTGGTCTGTGAGCTACTTCCTGTGTGTGTCAGCAGACCTCGTAGGAGATTCTGATTGGTCAGCAGTGAAAGACCCAGCAGGAAGCGTAGAAACAAGTCCAGGTGTCCTTGTTGACTCTCTAAGGCCTTGTCCACAGCACTCTGGTGGAGATATTTTAGATTCCCTTTGTCGTTAATTAATTTAGACCACCAGGATGTTGTTTGTTGATCTGCCAGCAGATTGACTCCAGAGTTGATGAATGTCAGATGGACATGAAGAGCAGCCAGAAACTCCTGAACACTCAGATGGACGAAGCAGAAGACCTTGTCCTGGTACAGTCCACTCTCCTCTTTAAAGATCTGTGTGAACACTCCTGAGTACACTGAGGCTGCTCTGATATCAATGCCACACTCTGTCAGGTCTGATTCATAGAAGATCAGGTTGCCTTTCTGCAGCTGCTCAAAAGCCAGTTTTCCCAGAGACTCAATCATCTTCTTGCTGTTTTTATTCCAGTGTGGATCTGTCTCAGCTCCTCCATCATACTTGATGGTCTTCACTTTGGACTGAACCACCAAGAAGTGGATGAACATCTCAGTCAGGGTCTTGGGCAGCTCTCCTCCCTCTCTGGTCTTCAACACATCCTCCAGAACTGTAGCAGTGATCCAGCAGAAGACTGGGATGTGGCACATAATGTGGACGCTTCGTGATGTCTTGATGTGGGAGATGATTCTGCTGGCCTGCTCCTGATCTCTGAACCTCTTCCTGAAGTAGTCCTCCTTCTGTGGGTCAGTGAACCCTCTGACCTCTGTCACAATGTCAACACACTCAGGAGGGATCTGATTGGCTGCTGCAGGTCGTGTGGTTATCCAGAGGCGAGCAGAGGGAAGCAGTTTCCCCCTGATGAGGTTTGTCAGCAGCACACCCACTGAGGTGGACTCTGTAACATCAGTCAGGATCTCAGTGTTGTGGAAGTCCAGAGGGAAGTCGACACTCATCCAGACCGTCAAAGATGAACACAACCTGGAACTCTTCAAACCTGCAGATTCCTGCTTCTTTGGTTTCAGTAAAGAAGTGATGAACAAGTTCCACCAAGCTGTACTTTTTCTCTTTCAGCACATTCAGCTCTCTGAAAGTGAATGGAAATGTGAACTCTATGTCCTGGTTGGCTTTGTCTTCAGCCCAGTCCAGAGTGAACTTCTGTGTTAAGACTGTTTTCCCAATGCCAGCCACTCCCTTTGTCATCACTGTTCTGATTGGTTCATCTCTTCCAGGTGAGGCTTTAAAGATGTCTTCTTGTCTGATTGTTGTTTCTGGTCTGTCTGGTTTCCTGGATGCTGTTTCAATCTGTCTGACCTCATGTTCATCATTGACCTCTGCAGTTCCTCCCTCTGTGATGTAGAGCTCTGTGTAGATCTGGTTCAGAAGGGTTGGGTTTCCTGCTTTAGCAATCCCCTCAAACACACACTGGAACTTCTTCTTCAGGTTAGATTTAAGTTCACGTCGGCAAGCTGGAGCAGCAGTTCCTGAATGAAGAAAGAAGAAATGTAGTTAATAAGTAGAAGCTCCAATAAATCTGATGGATGTAAACTTTAAGACATCAAGATGGTATTTATTTTCCTCCCCCATTAAATCTCTTCAGCTCATCAGTTGTAAACAGTTTCTGTTTTCAGTCCAGAAGAATTCATAGATCTGATACAATGTGTGCATCATATTATCAGCAGAGTTTTAAAAGTAAACTTCTCCCATGTTGCCTCCATTTCCTTTTTCCATCATGTTCAATCTGTTAAAATCCTCTTACTGCTCTGTAGACAGTCAGCCAGCTCTTCATGCTTCATTCTCCTCAGGAAGTGCACTGTGATCTTCAGAAATGCCTCTCTGCTGCTCCTCCTCTGCTCTTCATCCTCACCATCCAACACCTCCTCATCCTCCCTCTGACTCTCTGAGCATTCTGGGTAATCTGAACTCAGAACCTTCTGGATCTTCTTCAGCTCGTTCTTCACAAAAGTGACAATGTTGTCCTCCAGCAGCTGCAACAGAATATTATATAAATGACTCAATCAAAGTCAAATCATGGAAGCAAACATCAGATCCATGTTGGACAGACTGACAATCCACTGGTCTAAAAAGTGCAGCATGGAGATTATTGTGAACACAATAGATGTAAAAGTAGTTGTTGTCCATGTACAGACCATAAATATGGAGTCCAGGTGTGTTTGATGCTGCTGGGCAGACTGACCACTGGGAACCTCTGAGCTCTCCTGGTCCACTCTGTGGAGGAATCATGAAGAATGAGCTCACATTATGTCTGTCCACACAGAGACAAACACAAGGTAAAGGTCCATGAAGTGATATTTGGATGTGAACAGTGAATCTGATGACTCCCTGTAGTGGTAAAGGTTTACGAGTCCTGCTGATCCCACTGAGAATCAACAGCTCAGTTTGGTTCAGTCCCAACAGCTCTCACCAACCCCTCCATATAGTTCTCCCACCCTCACTGTACACTGCTGAAGTGCCCTGGAGCAAGGCACCTAAAGCCTCCAGCTGCTCCAGTGGAGCTGCTCAGTGTCTGCTTGTATCAGACTGGTTGTACTGGGCAGCTCCCAGTGTGAATGTGTTTGATTGTGTGAGTGTGATGCAGCTGCTGCTGAAAGAGAGTGTTGGTGCTCAGAGAACTTCATCTGAGTCAGTAAAGGTTGAAAAACTGGAGATTTCACAACTGAGAGTCTGATAAAAACACATCATTTTATTTTACCATCAGTTTGAAATCCTCACCTTTGATCAACAGAGTGGCGGCCATCTTTGAAGTGTATAAGATGACCCATAGAGCGATCACTCTTCATGGACACACAGCTGGGTTCAGGTTTTTTCCTCCTGATAGAAAAACAGGATCAGTTCTGCACTGCACCCACAACACACTGAGACAGAACCTGCCAGTGACTGAATACACCGACTGTACACAGTGTATTTGTACCCAGGGAGTTCTTGGTTAGGATTCCTATAAAGTCAGTGTTTGATTAAGACATGTTTCACTGTGTATTTTAAAGCTGTATTCAGTGCAGTGTGCAGTATAGGCGGGGAAATGATGGAGTGGAGTGACCATATCGGTCCCATTAGGATAAAAAGAGGAACAGACGTGGTGTCAAAGCAGTGAGTTTCTATAAACTGCTGCAACTATTTGTTCACTGTGAAACTGAGGCTGTTGTAAATTGAGCTGATCAGACACAAACCATCACCGTCCATTAAAAGACATTTAAAACATTTAAAAATAGGAGTTCACAACTGAGAGTCTGATACAAACACATCTTTTTATTTTCACCATCAGTTTGAAATCCTCACCTTTGATCAACAGAGTGGTGGCCATCTTTGAAGTATATAGGATTATCCATAGAGCGATCACTCTTCATGGACACACAGCTGGGTTCAGGTTCAGGACAGTCTGGTCTCTGATGGATCCTGATAGAAAGAAATTCATTAAAGCTCACATATTCAGAAACATTCTCACTGAATCAAAGACTTTGTGAAATGATGTATAATTTGAAATGTTTGAATACAGGGCTGGACAATAAGAACAATGTCTTCAATTACTGACATTATGGACGTGTTACTGAACACAATTTACTGATGTCACACACTTCAACACACTGTCTGAATTCCATATAATTAAAGTGAGAGCAGCTACAACATCTAACCAGAGAGCAATCAGCTCCCAGTCCAGTCCAGAAGAGCAGAATGTGGAACTGGTCAGACTGGAATGAATCAGGACAAACATCAGCAGTGAGCAACATGAGGAAGGAAATCTGCTCTGATTGATTCAAACACACGTTACTGTTACATTGCTCGTTATGAAGCTGAATGTTTCTCCTGATACTGATTTGAGATCAGATTGTCCAGCCCTGTTTGAATACTGACAACTACGTACTTTAGCTCAGATAAATGTCTTTGTTTCAAATGGAGAATCAAAGCCTTTGTGACATGGAGAAGAGTCATGGACAGTTAGAGATCCTCATCTCACCTCTGAGCTTTGGTCCTTGTGTCATGTTCCCCACACAGAGTGCTTTTAGAGGGAGGGGCTCCCTCCTCTCTGTCCTCACACTGATCCATAGCAGAGCCCACACCTTCACACAGACACAGCAACATGCTCATTCATTACAGCAAGC